ATATAAAAATTTACTTTAAAAAATTTGTACTTTTTTAAAGTATCAAATTTTCGAAAATTTTTGGAAACAAATATTTTTGAAAATTTTTGAAAAATTTTTGGAAATTTAACACTATGTTAAAATTCCGAAAAATTATATCTATAATATTACGGAATTTTAATATCTGAAAAATTTTTGAAAATTTTCCAGAAATTTCCGTAATATTTTGTAAAAAATTCTAAAAATTTAATACCATATTAAAATTCCGGAAATTTTTGCTTATTAAAATTTCCTGATAAAGAAGAACCATTATTCAAAGGGCTTTTATTTCTTGCATTTGATAATGAACAAAGAGAATAAAAAAATTATCTCGACTGAGGTTACAATATAGTAGTTTACCATATCATTACTAGTTTTGTTACTTTTAATATAGAATTATACAATAGGATTCAATATACTAATTTACTTTGGACATATTTCTTTCTTAACAAGTTATAACACGAAAAACTTTTTGATGTCAACTCTCAAATATAGGAAGTCATTAATAAAAAATTATATAATTACCTTTCTGATATTTTTAATTTATTATCTGAAGAAAATTATCTTTCACTAATACAATTGATTCTCTTATATCATCTACAAGGATTAACATCACCAATATGAAAGAATGTTCTAATTGCCATCAACAAAATATTGAAAATTGAAAAAAAATATATTCGGAATGTAAAATGTGATTATCAACATTGACTGAAATACAAAAAGAGAAAATAACTGAAGTTATATATAATATAACTAATAATACTCTAATTTTTAAACCATATAGTTTTGATGATAAATTGAGCACTCCATATATTCCCAGGATCAGTATTACTCAATAATAAGTTGTTGATCAAAGAATTAATATTCCTGAGATTTATGTTCCTGATCTGATCGATATTAATCCCAATTTGATTTCAAATGTTAAAAAGGTTCTTTTATATATAGAAAAAATAACAGGTATTAGAGATGGAATTCATAAGTGGATAGTAGTAGCCTATAATGATATCCCATATCATTATAGTATAAAATTAAAAGAAAAATTTTCTTGGTTAGTACTTATACCAGAACAACTTCACGAAGAAATAAATATGCTTCGAGCATTCGTAAAGTTAAACTGGCAAGTTATAATTTGTAAATTTTGTTCACTATTACTTTTATTTACTTAATTTTATATTAGGAAAATTGATATAAAATGATTTGCAACATGCCAAGGTTATTGGACAGATAATTAGCTTTTCTATTTCAAGAAATGTGTTGACCACCATAAATCTTAAAATTCTATTTGTAATATATACCATTAATCAATTTCTATGAAACTTATATGGCTATATATAAAAAACCATTCTAGCTTATCGGTAGAAGAATATCTTGTGTAGATCAAAGAACAGCAAGAATTACTTTATCAGATAAAATATAAACAGGTCATTATTAAATTTTTTTATTTTTTTTACTAATATTAATTTTATTTTATTATTTATTATAATAGACTTTTATTTATCTTCAAGTGATAATTAATTATTAGAAAACTATAAGAACTAATAATCCTTTATTAAAGAAAACTGCCAGAAGAATATTTTTCTCTATATGACCTGCAAAACGACATCCTATTTACCACCTAATTGAAGTTACTGATGAAATTCAGTTAATGTGACTTTGTCCAAAAGTATGTGACCTTATAGAGAAAAATTGTGTCATTTCTAGATCAGGAATCTATGAATAATATCAAGGATTATTTGTAATCTTAAAGGAGGTAAACAAGACTTTAAAAACTTTAATACTTCCTGTTCTACAATATTATCACTGAAAAATTACTACATGTAATTGTAAAAAGTTTCTTGAGGTAATACCTTTATTTCAATTAAATTAATTAGTAAAGTAAATAAATATATTGTAGAATATTAATTTTATTTATTTTTATTATATTATTATTTAATGTATTTATTATTTATTTGTAATT